CCTCCGCCACGATGCGCTGGCGAGCCATGGACACCGGCACTGCCAGGGACGCTGGGGACGCCGGGCTCCGGCCCAGGCGAGACGTCAGGAGGAGCCGTTTCCGTCCAGCCTGCGGGCAGAGGGGACAAGGGGACAGGTCAGGGAGCATCAAACAGAACCACAGAATCCCAGACCGTCAGGGATTGGAAGGGACCTCCAAAGCTCATCCAGTCCAATCCCCCTGCCGGAGCAGGAACACCCAGATGAGGTTACACAGGAAGGCGTCCAGGCGGGTTTTGAATGTCTGCAGAGAAGGAGACTCCACAACCTCTCTGGGCAGCCTGGGCCAGGGCTCTGTCACCCTCACTGAGAAGAAGTTTCTTCTCCAATTGAAGTGGAACCTCCTGTGTTCCAGTTTGTGTCCGTTACCCCTTGTCCTATCATTGTTTGTCACCGAGAAGAGCCTGGCTCCATCCTCGTGACACTCACCCTTTAAACATTTATAACCATGAATGAGGTCTCCCCTCAGTCTCCTCTTCTGCAAACTAAAGAGCCCCAGCTCTCTCAGCCGCTCCTCAGAAGGGAGATGCTCCACTCCCTCCATCATCTTTGTAGCCCTACGCTGGACTCTCTCCAGCAGTTCCTGTCCTTCTTGAACTGAGGGGCCCAGAACTGGACGCAATATTCCAGATGTGGTCTCACCAGGGCAGAGCAGAGGGGCAGGAGAACCTCTCTGTCCTACAACCACCCCTCCTGATACACCCCAGGATGCCATTGGCCTTTGCCATTGCCAGGAGCTCTGAGGAGCTGTCACCAGGAGGCTGAGGCCACCGCTGCCCTTCCAGGCCCAATTTCCAGCCCTAGGGAGGGGAGATGACCCAGGTCCAGGCCACATCTGCAGGTACAGAGGGCATGGCCATGTGGTGGGAGGTATCACCCCCCTGGGCAGCTCACCTGCTGTGCTGGGCCCTGGCCCCTGGGCCTTGAGGTGATGGTGGGCGGCTGCGTAACCACTTCTCCAAATGCCACCGTGTCTGAGGGAGAGGAGGAGGTGCTGGTGTCAGGCAGGAGCCCCCCAGGCCACAGCAGGGCTCTCCAGGACATGCTGGAGCTCTGGCTCACTCCCACCTCTCCACTTGTCACCGGGACAGGGATTCACTGCAGCCACCCCCACTGTGCCAGACCCACCTTGGAACAGGCTCTTCTCCAGCATGGCCTCTTTCTTCTCCTCTTTCTTTTTCCGAGCTTTTTCCAGCTTCTTATTCTGAAACCTAAAGAGCTGCGTTACGGCCAGGGCTCGTGACCAGACAAGGAGCAAGGAAGTGACTTCCTACCCCATGGGATCCCTCCCAAAACTCTTCCCCCCCAGCTCCAGCCCAGTAGCAGGAGGGTGAAGCAAGTCTGAACCGGGCTGACCCAGTCCAGCCCCAGCAGCCGTGGGGGCTTTGCTCTCACTCTCTCTTCCTCTTGGACTTCTCCGGTGCCATCGCTTCCTTCTCAGGCTCCCGCTGCAGCCGGTTCTTGGTGAGGAACAGGATGCGCTGCACCTCCTGCTCCATGCGGCAGACGTAGGAGCGCTCCGACTCCCCCTTCCCCCTCTTGAACTTGGGCACGGGGATGTCCCCAGGGGCCTCGGGGCCCTTTGACGTGGGCTGCTGCTTCTTCTCTAGGAGAGACGGGTGACATTACCGCAGCGGTGACAACCTGGCGGTTCCCCAGGGCAGGGATGGGACATCACCGTGGGGAGCTGGATGCCCCACTGCGGGATTTGGCTGCCTCCGGCTGCACCGCAGCACCACGGGCTCCTCAGCCAGGCCCCGGGTACCCCAGCTCCGTGCCCCACCTGCCCCCCGCTTCTTCTT